GTCGATACCACGGGAAAAAACAACAATAATACTTAAACATGAACTCCTTTATTTAACATTACAAAAACACAACATTAGTGGCACTTGGCCTTCAAATAACACACACACACACACCTGTACTCTGAATGCAAGCATTAGTTTAAATTCACTGACATACTGGCAGGCCGAAAATATTTTTAAACCCATTAACATAAACAACAATTCATGTGCAGCCAGTGGCAGCGCTAGGGCGGGGCTTGATGGGGCTATAGCCCTGTCAGAAACTTGCTTAGCCCCGGCACAGCCCCCCCAAAGATTTCCTAATGATATTCCTGTTTTTTTTTTAATCTCCCAGTGTCACTTTCATTAACATTGAAAAATAAACATAAAAAATAATAATAAAATAAACTGCCTAATATGTGGCCTATAAACAATTGACATTATGGGGGAGGGGTCAATTAGGCACGCATTAGCCAATTAATCAAGTGCGCATTAGCGTTCATTTTAAGTTTAGTATCAACAGCTATCACGATGGAGTGCTATTTAATATCAAGTAAAAGAATTTCAGACACTTTGCAGAATAGCTCAGATGAGAACAATAACACAAGTCGATAGTCTCAAGTCCTCTTTACACTAGTGCGTTTTCGTTTTAAAATGAAAACGATCCTTGTCTACACTTGCATTTTCGCTGCATTTCAGAAACGTTCTCCATCCACATTACACAACCGAAAACGCATGTCAAGTTTTCGAGGGTCGAAAACGCCAGAGTAGTGTAAACAACTGGCATAACTGTGACAAAAGTTATGCGTTTTAAAACTAAAACGCACTAGTGTAAACGTAGCCTCAGTCTGAAGTTCAGGATGGAGAGTCTGTCGTCACACTGAGTAGCAACTCTTAAAACCGAGCTTATGTGGAAAGTTTTCCAAGCTTATGAATTGTCAGCACTTTATCTATTGTAAAAAAAATTATTAGAATTTACAATGTTTTCCTGCCAGTTGGCATTGAGAGTGAGTGACATTTGATGGTCAAAAAAATTTGTAAATGGATATATGTAAAAAAAAAACAAATAAATAAAGTAATAACAAAAGAAAAAAAATCCCTACTTTTCTATGTGCGTTCATAAATTTTATTAATTTGTAAGTGTCATATTTGGCACTTGGCATTAAACATTATATTACTACACTGAACAAAATTATAAACGCAACACTTTTGTTTTAATAATCATGTTGTCTAATCAGCATCTTGATATGCCTCACCTGTGAGGTGGATGGATTATCTTGGCAAAGGAGAAGTGCTCACTAACACAGATTTAGACAGATTTGTGAACAATATTTGAGAGAAATAGGCCTTTTGTGTACATAGAAAAAGTCTTAGATCTTTGAGTTCAGCTCATGAAAAATGGGGGCAAAAACAAAAGTGTTGCGTTTATAATTTTGTTCAGTGTAATAACTGGCATATGAGAAGTTTAATACCACAGAAAACATGTAAAATATGCCTTTTTCGAAGCTGCTGTATATAAAAAAAACACAAGGTGGCTGAATTTGCATGCTTAGCTGAAGCTTAGGCATCCATTACTTTCTCTCAATTTAATTAGTTTTTTAGCACCCCCTCTGAACTGTTAAGCCCCCTCTTAGCACCCCAACAAAAAAATCCTGGAGCCGCCACTGTGTGCAGCTCTCGTGCTTTCAGAGCTGCGCGCTCTCATTTAAATCTCACACAATCATATTCCTATATCGTCGCCATCTTCCACGTTAAGTTCTTCTGTGTGCTTGTGGGCATTTTTTTCTTTTTCTTTACCCTTTGAGGACTGACTGAAACAAACATTTCTAGGCGTATGCTCTGCTGGTGTTGTGCCGAATTCTGCACCCCTGCCAGATTATGCATCCCTACCTGATTGCCTAATCTCAACCCCACCCCTAATCCTAACCCCTCCCCCACACCTACTCCTAAACCTACCAATACTAGGGGAT